AAGCAACTAATGATGTATTCTCAACAATTCCATATGGTGAGGCCACCCTTCTGGGAGTTGATTTTCGGGACCTAGACCCTTTTAATACAGTCTTTAGCTGACCATCGGACTGGAAAACTTCGTCCCTTAATTCTATTGTTGCATCATTCCCCTCACAGGCTACAAAGTCAACACTATTTGAAAGATGATCACACGTACAAAGATCCTCTGATGATGTATTAACTGCCAATGCATTATCTTGTTGCACACTACTACACAAAATTGCAAATAATATCACTTCAAACAGTAAAAGAACAAAAATTAACAAATACAATCAAATCACCACTATTAAGATAATGTGCAAACCTTGGCTCAACTTCTATATCACATGAAGCAACCTTCTTCGAACTTTGCCTGCGAGTACGCCTACCCTTTATTGAAAAGCAAACATTCGACCTCTACATCTGTGATGACCTATCAAAGTATAAGAAATTAAATGAAGTAAATATTCAATAACCAAAATAATTATCCAAACTAAAAACATAAAATTTTAATTATTAACATCAATATCAGACCTTGGCTTAACTACCCTCTTTGGTCCCTTCTTTGCTCCCTTTTTTGGTCCCTTCTTACGATTTCGATCATCATTTTTTAATACACAAATCTCTGTTTCCTGAGAAGCGAACCTAGCCTCAGAACGTAAAGCAACAGGTGAGGAAACATCAGCAGTCTTTGGCCCGATGAACAAAAATTCGAAACATATAAGGATTTACAACGAAGTACCAACAATATAGAAACCAAACAAACTCCGCCAACCTAGACTCAGAACGCAAAGCAACAGGCGAGGAAACATCAGCCGTCCTTGGCCTGATGAACAAAAATTCGAAATATATAAGGATTTACAACGAAATACCAACAATATAAAAACCAAACAAACTCCACCAACCTAGACTGAACGCAAAGCAACAGGCGAGGAAACATTAGCAGTCCCTGGCCTGATAAATAAAAATTAAAACATATAAGGATTCACAGAGAATTAACAACAATATAAAAAACAAACTCTGATAGTAATAATAATAATTATACTATTATAATAACAAAACAAAACCGAGGACTAAACCTTGCATATAAAGTAGGTGTTGCTACCCCTCGAGAATGCAACCTGACCAAACCATCAAAAGAAGAAATTTATAAAAAAATTACAACATCAATAGGCAAACATAATACCAAACAAAAGAAAAGAAAACCAACAACAATAAAAAAAACTCACTGCTTCGAAGACGATGGCAAATCAGATGAAGTAATAGAACGACGATTTGGACGTAAAGGCGCAATAATAGCCTGCTCTTCTTCAGGTACAGAAACAACCGAAAACTCAGGTTTCCCCCTGCTCAAGTATTCAGGTTTTGGAAGTTGCACATCAAAGTTCAAACATCGACCATCAAGAGCCATAATATCAGGTGGCAACCGCCCTCGTTGATGAGGAAAACGTTCAGATACTACTGGAGCTGAAGCTCCCACAAGCTGCTCGGCCACCCGACTCAATAAAACAAAGACCGCAGTACCAGTTTGGTCCTGAACATTAACATGTATCCTATAACTGCAATTATACCAACACAAAACAATCAGAACAACCGCACAATCAATAAACTTAGTCAAAATAAACACATAATTAATTACCAATTCTGAGTTTGTTCAGGACTAATACGACAATGTTCATCACACCAGTAATCACCACCCTCATAGTCCTTAGCAGCTCTAGAACACATGCTGCATCCTAAATAGTACCATTGTCTGCTCGATTCAATGGAAATAATCTGAGCAGAACAACGGTAGCGAGAATTCTACAAACAACAACAAAAACACACAAAAATAAAACAAAGACTATACCACACAAAGATAAAGACAATCCATATATCAAAATTGTAAAGACACACAATACAAAAAAAAAGACAACAATAAAAAAACAAAACCTACATCAGCCACAAAAGGACTACACATGGACACCAGTTGAGCAATAGTCCTTTTACGATCAGCTTCAAAAGCAGCTGCCTCAGCAACAGTAGCAAATCTTGGGGGATAATACTGAACAGTATTTTTCACACCAAAAAACCTACAACCATAACAGCCTATAAGAATACAGATGTGCTCAAACCAAACGAAAGCAAGCAAAAAAACAAAAGGAACCCACTTACGCAGTACGAATCATTTCTGCCATCTCGGACACAGGATTCAACAGACACCGTGTACCAGGCGTACTTGCCAATGCAAACCCCCCTTTCCATAGAGACAAAAAAAACCCAGCAGACCAATAAATATTACCCTTCAATAATCAAAAGAGAACAAAAAAAACATCAAAACATACCAACCTTTCACAACTCCAGTAACCCTCAGACCACCAATGGCCAGAACAACCACACCATTACGACCAAGCACAACCAACTCTTGACCATCAAACGAGCACCCCACGTCGCCCCAAAGAGCAATCTCAAGCCTCGTATGACTTGGATAAATAAAAAACAAAAATACAGAACACAATAAAAAACGTTTGCTTGAAGATTACTCTAAAGAAGATAATTATTATTTTACGATTCAACTTATGTTATAAAGAATCCTGACCACCCTTCATACCTTTCATTCTAAATGACCAAATCTCGACGGACATCCTGACCAAGTGATATAGTAGCATACGAAATGCCAGTAGCACTAACAACAGCACCAACAACATCTAACAAAAGAAACGACCAAAATAACAATGTCACAAAGCATCTAAAACCCACATATGATTAAGAAGAAAAAATATAGAAAATAAAAACACAACAAACCAGTAAGGAAAGCTGAACAACGGACTCGAGAATATAGAGAACTGAACGGAGCGAATTCGAAGGCATCTTACCAGAAATTAGGTTCAGAACCAGTAACATTCTCAAAAACAGTATCACAAGAAAGCACCAACGTTAATTTATGCAAACAATAGCGATATATTGGTCCAGAAGCCCTAACACGAAATCCACTGACAACATACACCCTGCCCAACTGCAATAGAGGAGCAAAATGTTGAGTTAAATTAGCTGGAGCGGTCCCCTGAATCAGAGTTCCCTGCAAGAACAACAATCAAATAAGCAGACAACACTAACACACAACAGCAAAACCAAGAACGCAAACAATCACAAAGACATTAACTTCACACCTCCTCATCATTCCAAAGAGTACAGTAATTGAAAATAAGCGCTGGATCTTTCAAGCCATATGAACCCCAAGCATTCAATAACCGCAACTTCAAAACAGTCCGCAACCCAGCCGTTTCATCAAGGTCCAACAGAAGAGTATGAGAAACCATGGCAGACAGAATAAGAAAAAAGAGGACAACCAAGACAGCAAAACTAAATCCCGGACATATATAGAAGCAATATACGAATTACAACCAAAACATCATGATGAAAATCAAGAAACCCCCAAACCAACTACCCACAAAAATAACACAAACACAAGGTAGAAGAGAGAAAGAAAACACAAAGTTGAGAGAAGAAGGAAGGAAGATTACCGATTTTCCTGTCTTCCGCCCTTCTGTCCTCCGCCGCCGACCGAAGGAGAAGGGGAAAAATCACAATCACCGACAAATCACCCAACCACAGCTCCAAACCGTGAACGTGGCTGTCTTATCCTGCAAAAGAAGAACAAAAAATAAGGTAATAATCCCACCCCAAACAATCGATACCTACTCTCCTGCATATGCGTGAGGAGTCTGAGAGATGAGTAGAGAAAGAATATAGAGAGAGAAGCAAACTTAGTATTTTAATAGCCTTTTTGTTCCTTTCTTCTTTTTATCTTTTATTTCTCCCCCTCGCCTACGTGGAAAAAACGGGTAGAATAAAAAAAATTATATCTTTAAACAAAACTAATTATTAAATAAAAAAACAAAACAGAGGAAGAAAGAAGGACAAGACCATCTACATTCATGAAATAGCATTTTCATTTCATATGCGGTCCCTACTGCCACATCAACCACTTTTATCATTCCACCACATATCAATTTCATTTTGTCTACATCCATGAAATCAACTTTCTATTTCATTTTGTGGGTCCAACTAATTTTTTATTACAACTAAACATTTCTTCTATATGGATGAAACTATAAAAGAAAGTGAAAATGAAAAAAAAGGCAAAAAGTGAGATTTGGGCCCACGTTCTACCCACTTGGAGAATTTCATTGCAATTTCATTGAGAATTTCATTTAATGAAATCTTCTATTAGTGAAAGAACTTGCTACATCCATGAAATAGCTTGACAGCAGCCACGTCAAAATGAAACTGTCAAATGGAAGCCTTCTGTTCCTTTTTTCTTTTTATTAATACCTCATTGTTCTCCATTACTTTTTATTTTGGGTAAATACAATTTAATATCCAAACTTTTTATTTTAAGCAATGTAATAGCCAAACCTTTTCGAAAACAATCTAATGTCTAAATCGTCAACTTTCTGTCTGTTTGACCGTTAGTTGACACTTCAAAAAAGTTCGAAGTACGACACTTCATCAATATCCATCGATATCTTCTCTGAAAAACCACCAACATATCGTAGTTCCAAACCCGAGAAGTCCATGACTACACCATGATGGTATAGAATATCTAAATATTTAGTCATCTGCAATGCCAAAACAAGAAACAAAGTTGTATTGTGACAATTTCACCTAAACAAAGCTTTTTTGAAGTGTCAACTAACGGTCAAACGAAAGGAAAGTTGACGATTTGGATATTAGATTGTTTTCGAAAAGGTTTGGCTATTATATTGTTTAAAATGAAAGGTCTGGATATTAAATTGTATTTACCCTTTTATTTTTTAGTTATATCTCTCCCTCTCCTACATGGAAAAACGGAATGAATCCTCTTGACAATAAAATGATTTTTTTGTTCCCCTCTTGATTTGACACTAAGGAACAATAAATGATTTTTTTGTTCGCCTCTTGATTTGACACTAAGGAACAATAAAATTCTTACTTGTTCTTTTAAAGATATAATAAAGCATCCAACATATGATTTCATTGCTGAATCGCCCCATGCATTTCAGTAATTTCATCATTACACAAATCTTGTGCATTCGATCTAACGGCTATAAATGCACAAGAGGGCGAGCCAACAGCACTGGATCGCCCAAAGTCGGCACCATAGCAAAAGTCTCAAGAGCTCCTTACGTTGTTTAGCACCTTGCCTTCTCATCAGAAGTTTTTGTTAGAATTTCAAAAACCAACCTGTTCTATGTTCTATCCCAGTAACCCGTAAGGGCACAGGGAAACATGTAAAAATTCATTCCTGCAAGAAGAAATCGATCTCTATACAACAACAAAATTTGCACACGCTAAGAAACATGGAGGGAAACCCTAAAGGAGAATTACACATATATTGATATATATGGCTATCTTATTGCCTCTAACGAGTACTATGACTAAGCGAACGCCAAGAATCAATCAAGAGACCTCCAACAGTAAAGAGACATCACTGTTCACTGCTTAGACCTCCACGGGAGAAGAAGAAAAAAAGATAAATAAACACACGCAAGTACCATTTCAGCAATGCAGGTGGCCTCTGATCATCAACACTAGACTCTAGGAATAGCACACAAAGAGAAGGTAGCAAGGAAATCCAGTTTGAGCTCGAGTCTCTCGATGATTTTGCTGTGCGTTGATGACTGATTGGTCTACGAACAGTATGTAAGAATGTCAACAACTCCTGCATAATGGCCGCATTATGTGCAAAGATCTGATTTTTCAAACCCTTTGTTGCAGTTTACACTTCCTCCCTGTCTTGCCGGCCACTCTTCAGAATGTTGTACTTGCAGAGAGGACATGTGGCATTGATGTGAAGCCACTTGTCTACGCAGGTGCAGTGAAAGTGATGTCCACAAGGTAGTTCCCTTAGCTCAACCCCATCGTCATAAGAAGATAGGCATATGCAACATTCCTATATCCAACAAACACCAACAGTCATTCTTTTTGTTTTCCTTCTAAATCGAGAACTAAAGTATAAAAACTGGTGGACAGCTTAAAGAAGATAGATGGAATGCGTACTGCATCCTCCTGGGAAAGGACATGCTCAATTGGAGAATCAGTGCCACATTCTGTCATTATTCCACCAGGAGTTTCTTGATCCTCATCAGCAAGCTTCTCGTTATCGCTGGCCCTTCGGAATTTAAACTTTACAAGCTGATCTATATCTTCTTTGGATGCTCCTTCCTGGTTTTATATTTTGCATACAACGTTGAAATACGGCAATAAAAGACATTAACTATTGCCAAGTAACGATAGAAATGACAATGTCAAAATGCAAATAATCTGAGGTAGATAGTAATAGATAAAATGCACATATATACTGATGCGCACAGATTCTGCTTCCGTGTTTTTTATTATTTTTTTCTCTTATTTCCTACTTCTGAACCAGTTTGATTTGGTTTTCTGCCTCTTCCTCATTTGAATAGTTTCCTTATGGCAGTTAATGTCGTCAAGGAAAATTAATATTTTATTTAGAATTTTAATTTAGTTCCCTTGCACAATAGACATTAGGTAGTTCATCTGATTTTTACTTTGAGTGGATTCTCAAAACCCTATCTGGAGTGGAATCTCAAGCAAATCCTGCTCCTAAATTGCAGAGGAAACCACCTGAAATGCCATCTTTTCTACCCTTTTTACGGAATTATCAGCAACTACCTCTGAGCACAACACATGTTTCCTACGTTCTCTTTGCCTAATAAACTCTAGTCATGTCAGATTACCAGGAAAAGAGCATCAGTAGACCACCACCAAAAAGTGAATTTGGGGGGAAAGTTACCTGATCAGCAACTGCATATAAGATTGCAATAATGCAAGGAAGACAACAGCACACCGCGATGCCAATCACACATGCCAGAGCAACACAGAATACCACAAAGAACACATCAAAACCAAGATAGATTATGCAAAGCCTGCAAAACAACATCCAACATTCTGACAGGAATGAGAATTTTTCTGCAAAGAAATGTATGCATTGGAGCAGCATAGGTGATGAACCAACCAGTAAAGCTGAGGGGAGTCTTGTGCCAAAGCTTGTCCACCAGCAGACACCCAGTAGAACCCAATGATCCACCAGATAAATGAAAACATAGTATTTGCAGATTCTAGGTGCTTCGCGATGCTGGCCGAAAACAGAGAAGTGAAGATAATTACTTCAGTTTGCATGAAAGATGAAATATCACACAGGTTAGGACAAAAATGTATAAAACATGATTCTGGTCATGAATAGGAATGAATCCTCAAAGAAGTATGAAAGATCAAGTAAACAGATGAGTATCCTCATGGCTAGAATACTCGCTTGCCTTCTCCCTTCAAGCCAAATTTTGGAAAATGACAGTATCAAGAAGATTGAATTCCACAGTTTCTGAATTTCCGGAACTCACTGTGGTCGATGCTATGCAATGTACCCAATACACTATTGGAACTAATGGTTTGTACATCGATGAAGCTTTGCCACTGCTCAATATCAATCAACAATCAACCAACATACTAGCAAGAGAATTTCAGCACCGAATCTCCAAACATCTAACAGAATTACCCCAAATGAATTCCAAATCAAGCAGCTAAAGAAACAAGCATACCTGGTTCCATCATCTTGCAACTGCGCGAGCGTCACATAATCACCAGAATCACCTCTTGAACCAGAACTCGAACTCCCATCATTCCCTCCACCACCAGCCACAGTTCCAAACCCCACTCTCCTCCTCCTCCTTCTCCTATACTCCACACAAACACAACCCATATGCAACAGGCACTGCATCCCATACCCAACAATCCACAACCTCAACGGCATGTTGGCCCGCTCCTCCGTGCTCAAAACGAGCACCGCAACCCCGGCAGCCACGAAAGCGAGGTTCCAAATGATATCCAGAATCACCACCGGCTTCGAATACGCCCAGTCACTCTGCCTCTCCTCCACGTGCTCGGCCGCTGTCTCCCTCACCACCATCGACGGCTCACGCATCATCCGCCTGCCGCTGGCCCGGCGCAGGAACCGAGCTGCATCGCGGAGGGACTGGCGACGGATGGATCGACGGTTGGTGGGGGAGTTGATGTTCGGGTCGGATGGGGACCCGGGGGAGAGCAAAGGTGTGGTGTCGATGATGTCCTCGGATGACGATCCTGACCGCGGCGGCGGAGACGACGGTGCTGCTGCCTCGGTCGACATAGCAGTAGACTCTGGATGTTGTTACCGAATCGCCTTTACGTGTAATTTATCTCAATTTGGGGATATGGGTTTTACGCCATAGAAAGAGGAGGGAGGAGAAATTGTGGTTTTGGGGGTTAGGGATTGGGGAAATGGATTTTCTGGTATTGGATTTGATTGAAGTTGGGGAGTTCGTCGGCACTTCTTGTGATCCCTAGAAGATGCAGAAATGATGATGAGTTGGAACTTTTGGTTTACGTCTGTTTTCCTTTTATTAATCTTTTATTTATTTCTGGTTCAGCGTTGAATTTTCCGTTTGACAATTTTTCTCGTTAAGCTTTGCACGTGATTTTGTAACTTTCAGTCACATTTTCTGTCCTTTAGAGACAATAAAGGCTAATTTTATTTCGCAAAATACATTAACATATTTATAACTAGACAAAATACACTTTCATATTCACAACTTTCACGTTTGTAATAGTCTGATAGATATAATCACAACTTTCTAAATACAAGAAACAGCCAGAATTTTGATAGTTGTTTGACAAATCTAGTCATTTCTGTTACAAACTTTAACGGTGTTTGAGATTCCATTAGTTAAGTTAACGACATGCTGACTAGGATGCCAAATTGATGCACACATCAGCGACAACTCAGCAAGAGATACTATCTCCATCGTTCTCTATTTCCATCAGCCACATCCTTCCTTCCCGACCCATCGTTCTCTATTTCCATCGGAGATACTATCTCCTCTTTCACCGCCGCCGCCGCCGATGCCTTCTTCTTTGCGACCGTCGTCATCTTCTTCCCAACAGCCCTCTTGCCCGCTTTCTTGCCATTATTTTGTACTCTGCCAAGTGTTTGAGGCCTTCTCCTTCAATTTAGCAATTGGGATATGAATCTGCAATTTGGAAAATAAGACCTCATTCTTAGTATACTCTTAGGTGACACCGATAAAGGGATGGACAGAAGTGTCTATTTTGTATATTTCAAAAGTTGTGGCTATATCTATCACAAACGTAAAAATTGTGGCTATAACTGTCACAAACTTGAAAGTTGTGGCTATGAAAGGGTATTTTGCTTTTTCTTTGTTAATCCACGTGGATCGCCAACTCACCATTCCCGTCGGTCCAGTCATACTGTTAAGTGACACCGTTAAGGGGATGGACGGAAATGGCTATTTTGTGTATTTCAAAAGTTGTGGCTATATCTGTCACAAACGTGAAAGTTGTGGCTATGAAAGTGTATTTTGCCTTATAACTTTCACATTTGAAACACATATAGACACAACTTTTGGAAGAAAAAAAAAAACAAAATAGCAACTTCCGTGAATCTCTTTAACGGTGACACATAAGTACATAACGATAAGACTGTACTGATGGAAATGCTGAGTGAGTGAGTGGTGATATATTATCTCCACCAATCCATGTGCATTAACAAAAAGAAAAATAAATAAAATAAAAAGGTAAAAACACTAATTCCTCCACCACCACCGCTCTCCTCTTTGCCTTTCTCTAGGGATGGACAATGGGACGGGACGGGATACCCGTCCCCTTTGAAACGGATACCCAATCCCGTGTGGACAGCAAAGTCCATCCCGTACGGGACGGATAACGCGTACCCATTTATACTCATTAATACCCGTTTAATAGTTGTTGTCCACAATAAAGTTAATAGCATTGTATGCCCCTCTACTATTACAAGTTAACAAATGTGCCCCTCTATTAATTTTTGCACTTTTATGCCCTGCAACTATCAAAGTGTAACAAATGTACCCTTCTGTTACTATTTCCATCAAATTTCCGTTAATAAGGTCTGGAAATGACTATATTACCCTCAGCATATCACACATATAATTATTTTGTAGCAAAAATAACCATTAAAATAATTTTATTTTTATGCTCTTTTAATTCCCCTACTACTATCGAGGGGAACCCCCACCCCCTCTATTCCTTTCTTCTTCGCGTAACCTCGCCGCCGTCGATTCATCTTTGTCCCCGCAACTCCGGCGCCAAGCTTTCCGACAACCCACTGCTACTTCGGTGCCAATTAGCTCCTCGAGCCTCCAGTCAAACACCCGAAGGTCAAAGCGTCTGCGTCGTCCACGACCACATCGCAACAAAAATGAGTGCGGCTGTGAGCGAAGAATCAAGAAAACCAAAAACTCATGATTTCACATATATTCCCCTGCTTCTATTGCTCGCGACGAGACCCAGGAAGGCAATTAACCTAGAATCCTTTGATTACGGGTTTACTGTTTTGCATCCCGGATTCCTTTGATTACTATGAAAGCTTAATACTTCACTTAATTAGGCTTGAATTCCAAACGAGGAGAATGAAACCCTGCTATTTGATAAATTTTGGGTTGGATTTGTTCATTTTTTGGGGCTCTGTTCTCGGTCAGACATGGCATCAAGTTTTTTTACCATGAAGGTAAAGGGACGGTGGTGGGCGCACACGAAGAAGAAAGAACTGGAGGGGTGGGGTTCTTCTCGAAAGTACATGGGTAATTAAAAGAGCAGAAAAAGTAAATAAATTTAATATTTATTTATTTAAAAAATAATCGTATAAATTGACAATGAAGGGGTAATATAGTCATTTCCATACCTTACTAACAGGAATTTGACGAAAATAGTAACAGAATGGTACATTTGTTACGGCTCGATAGTTGAAGGGTATAAAAGTGCACAAATATAGTAGAGGGCATGTTTGTTAACATGTAATAGTATAGGGGCATAAAATGCTACATACCTAAAAAAAAGAGAATACATAGCCTGTTGTCCATTTCCATATTCGGTTGGGCAATAAGAACCCACTGCCCACAAACAAAAAAGAACCCACTGTCCACAATAAGATAAAGAACCCACTGCCCACAAAATAATGAAACATGAACTTGGAACAAAATAACAATGTCAAAGTCAAATCCAAAATGTCAAAATCAACCAGTACTAACTTCTAGCATATTATCATAAATAGAAAAGTCGGCAAGCAGCGAGATTGATCAGATTGCTAGGCAGCCCACGTAATGCCAATAAACTTAGAAAGCAAAAAACTTTCAATTTCTCCTCTTTTGTTTACCTTCTCTTCGCGCCGGACGTTGTTGCACAATAAGAGGAACAGTGGTCGACATAGGCAAGGATATCGTAAGTATGGCAAACAATATCGGCAGGAGTGCGAGGCTTGTGCTTGAACAACCCCTTCATCTTCTGTGATCTCGACGGAGACAGAGCCCTAGACAATGCTCCAAACGTCGTCAGTGGCGTTGGGGCTGAGATCTAGAGGATAGGAATGGCCTGCGACATCGGGATTCGTCTTGCTCTAGGTCTACTGCTGGTCTAGTCTTCTGGGCGAGCCGCGAGGGAGAGTCTCTCTCAGTTTTAGTCACGAGCAGTCGCCACCGCGCCGAGTGAGGGAGAGGTGAGAACTGAAACTCATTGAGGAGAGGAGATGCCGAGATGGGCCTGAACGCTTGGTCCCCTAAAGGCCTAAACTAGCCGAGGTCGACTGGGCTCGGGCTGCTGGGCTGGGCTTGGGAGGGTTGATAGTTGGGGTGGGATTGGGTCCATTGGGAACTGGTTTCATAAATCAGATTTGGGCTAATGTGTATTGGGTATAATGGATACCCATATTACCCAAACGGGTAATCACGGGTAACCCGCGGGTACCTAATGTTAAAATTTACACTTCCAAATCCCATCCTGCAATAAATAAAATGGGTATTTGGGCACCCGTAACCCACAAAAAACGGGACAGGTATGGGTATACCCAAATACTTGTTTCCTGTTGCCCACCCCTACCTTTCTCGCTTTGCCTTCCTCCATTGATTCCCTCAACCCATCCATCCTCCCAACTCGCCAAACCATCTCCAGATCATACTCTGATCTTAAAGAATTCCTATTTTGATAGGAGAGCGAAGATTCATTGTCAATCTGGACTTCGTTACATTCGTTGTGCCGCCATCGCCATCGTTGTCCGGCCACCGCCAGATCCTCACGAACTCGCCGTTGTCGTGGCCACTGCTTCTCGCCGCCGTATTCCCTGCCGCTTTTGCTTGCTCTGTTCGTTGAGGAGAGAAAGGAGGGATTGAGAAGGTGGAAAGCCGATGATATGGGTTCCAGATTTGGGGGTGGAAGGGTGACTAGAATATAAAACAGCAAGCCTGGATGGAGAAGGGATCCCTTCGTTGATCTTCTCTACTTCTTGTTATCCAGGAAGTGGCAGTCATCCTCTGTTCGCCGTACACGACATCGTCACAATTCAAGCGGCTGGAATTTGAGTTTAGAATCTCGGGATCTAGAATCGCCTTCACTTTTTTACTATTGGTCGCCTTCTTCCTGAAGATATGTAGTCGTCGACGGAAATAAGCTATTGTTGTTGCTGGGTAGTCAAGAAATCATAACATTGTCGTCGATATCATGTGCTCGACATTGATGAGAGGAGCGAAAGCGAAATAGGGGAAAGAAAAAGGTTGAGCAAGATGTCGATGTGCATATTTAGGGATTTAGTGGTTTTCTTTTGGGAGCTGGCCACCGGTTTGGGGTTTAATGGAGAGGAAAATAGTATATTTTGTGGAATGGAGTCGAGACTTCCTCGGTGAGGGGAGCAGAGGGGAGAAAAGGGTGGAAATTAATTAATTATTTTAATCAAATTATGACTGTGTCATCTACATGTAATGTTATGTTGATTTGTCGCTAACATGGAAGATGATTTGGATCCTAGTCAGCCTAACGTTAACCTAACTGACGAAGTCTCCATTCTCTAACACCGTTAAAGTTTGTAGCAAAAATTGCTAGATTTGGCATATAACATTCAAAATTCTAGCTATATAGTGTTTATCGAAAGTTGTGGCTATGTTTCCACAAGCATGAAAGTTGTGGGCTTGTGGCGATGGAAATGTATTTTGCAATTTCTTTGGAACAATATTGTATATGTTATTAAATAATAGGAAAGAGAAACTAATAGGGGAGCAACGATAGAGAGAAAGACACAGGATGGAGAAGAGAATAGTTCTCTTTTTTATTTTTATTTGGTTGAAAGAATGACGTCAAGCGTCTAACTCATTAAGTAGATTGAACGATCATAGGCAATGCCCATTACATCGTGTAACAACCAACTTCAAAGTTCCGAGTCGCACCCATTGAAGCGATGTGTGCCAAAATTAACAGAGTGACCCATATTAGCTAAGAAATCAGAAGCAAAATTTGCTTCCCTAAACACATGATTGATCCTAACATCCCAATCTTTGCTAAGAAACACATGAACCTGCCTAGCAAGGATGCCATGGTGATGGTCATC